ATTTCACTCCTTCAGAGGGCATATATATATATATATATATATATATATATATATATAAGAAAATGGCGACATAGACCGCCGCCGCTCCTTGTTGGTGGGCATAGACATTATTGACCTGAGCGAAGGTGGTGGCAGGGAAGGCCCTTTTCCATGTAAATGGCTAAAGCTTCTTGCTTTTGCTTTGTGAGCAGGAATTAGATCGGAACGGCTTCCACGGTCAATGTGTTGGACGGCGTTGATAGATGCATCGCCCTTTCTTTTGTTTGGTTATTTTTATTTATGTTTTGTTTTTCCTTCTCCCCTCACCCTCTGGTGCGGTGCGTGTTACACCACGAGAAGCGTGCCGCTGCCTCGGTGTGTGCATAGGCTTAAACTGCAGCGCACATTGCACGCTTCTTCCTTCATGTTTTCTCTTTCGTCGCATAAATGATCAAAAAAAAAAAAGCGAGGCGTGTGCGTTAGGACTGGAATGGGGGTGGAGCTGAGCTCTGTGCCCGATGGTCATGAAATGCCACTGCTCAGCCAGGAAGAGGCTGCGCAGCTCGCCAAGAACACGCATTATCGGCCCGAGGAGTTGCACCGACTTCACCACCGTTTTTATCACGACATGATCGCCCTGTCGCCAGCCTCCAGCGAGGCGCCCCAGCAAGGCGTGGGCTTCCCTCTCTTTTGCTCCTGCGCGTCGTTTGTCGGGGTGCGAAGCCCCATCCTGCAGGAGATGTTCTTCGCCACGTTTGATCGCAACCGTGACGGCATCATCACCTTTGACGAGTTCGCCGCGGCCCTCTCGACCATGTCGCGCGGCACCTCGCGGGAGAAAATCAACCTGGCCTTCGACATGTTCCACTGCGTCAACGCGTACCCACAGCCGGTGGCGCCGAACAGCCGCACACTGCTGCGGAGCGGCATGTGCGCTGTTCTGCAGGCGCTGGACTCCACCTTCGGAAGCCCCATAGCGTACCGCGACGACCAGCAAGTGCAGCGACAAAAACAAAAACAACAACAATGCGGGACATTGCTCACGGCGGCGGAGATGGCGGACGAGTTGTTCGCATCATCTGACGAAGTGACTCGTGAGGAATTCGCCGCGTATGCTTTGCGGTGCCCCGCGATTGTGAAAGGGCTCGCCATCTGCTGAGAGCGTCACATCACACTGCCATGGAATGGCAGCCGAGCTGCAGTAGCCACCTTGCTGCTCCTACTTCATCCCTGCCCTTCTTTATTCTGATTCTTTGCCCCTCCTTTTTTCTTTCCTCTTTCCCTCTTTCTCTCTCTCTCTCTCGCTATATATATATATATATATTTACAAATGCCAAAGTGTGTGTGTGTGTGTGCTGCAAAAGCACGAGTGCCTATTGCGTGAAAAGAGCAATTTTTGTGTTTTGCTGTTTGGGCACGCAAGAGGCGTACAACCAATGTCGCAGACACAGGAGGCGGGGAGCACTACTATCGACGTGCTTCGATCTGCGGTGACGACAGGCCAATCATCTGTGCTGAAGGAGGTGAAGGCAGATGCTGTGCTGCTGCATGTAGAGCGTGTTCTTCCAGTGCTGCTGCAGCTCTGCGACACCAACGAGTCAGTGCCCAATCTCGCGTTGTTGAACGCGGCGTGGAAGCTGTTGCTCTCAGTCGCTTCCCACAGTTCCATTGACACACACGTGTACAGCAGAGTTATGCAGTTTATGTTCGCACAGCTGCAGCATCACATCTTTTCCCACGACTGGTCCGATGGGAAAAAGGTAAAAATAGCCGCCTTTGTGGCGTCACATGTTGTCTCGGCAGTGCGGGCGCATCCCTACTATGCTGCCCGCGACACGGAGTTGATCGGCACTGCAGTGGAGATGTACACCACAGTTTGCCTGACTGTCGCTACAAGTGCACACATGGAGGCCGCGCGGCAGCTGCACCAAAACATTGGTGTGCGTCTTCTGGCCATATTAGAGGCGATAGGGTCTGCGTGTGATGGGCCGCGGCGGATTTCGGCAGAGGAGCTGCTGCAGATACTCCTGCGCTGTCTTGAGGGCCCCTCACAAGAGACAACAGCGGTGCTCCCCAGCGGAAGCGCTGCTGCTGGCGCCGCGGTAGCGGCGCTGACGGCGACAATGGCAGTGGTGGGACCCCTGCTGCTTGTGTGCGACAGGGCGTCTGCGGAGACGCTGCTTACCGCCTTTCTTCTTTGGTTGCCGGATATGCAACACGTGCTACTCGACGTGGGCGAAAGCGAAGCGGCATCATCTTGCGAAGAAGAGGAGCCCGGTGCCCTCCTGCATCGGCGCGTGGCGCGACAGGCGAAGCATCTGCCCTGCGACTTGTTTACCGCTTCACGTGAGAGCGACGAGGCCACGGATTCAACAGGGGAGGTGGGCCTCGAGACGCAGCTGCTTTTACTACTGCGCGGACTCGCATGCAAGAGTGTCGATGCGGCACAGCTAGCAGACGTATGTGATGGGGCGGGGATGCCGACTCAGGGATCGCTGCTGCGCTGCCGAGTGTTTGGGCTGTTGATGGCCGCACTGCTCGTGCCCAACGACAGCAGCATCGCGCGTGTGCTGCTTGTGTGGGAGGCGGTGCTGCACCATCTGTCTGACCTCAATAAGGAGATACTTGGTGCGGAGCTTCTGCAGCTTGGTGAGGACCAACTGCGTGCCCTCCGCGAGATTCCAAGTACGATGCCACAGGACAAGGTGGATTGTCTGCACCGTTTTCTCAACGCAACAGCAGCCTTGCTAGCGGAGATCTGCAGATTGCTACACCGCCCACCGGAAGCACTTACTAACGCTGCTTCTGGTACTTCTGCATCACAGACGACGCTCATGATGAATGCACCTTTCTACTCACCGAATCAGCTTTCTTTTTGCAGCATGGTAAGCTGCTTGTACCACCAGTCGCGCACCTATCAGTGGTGGAATGAAGAGGCAGCTATGAAGGAGGAGACAACCCACACCGTGGAGACGGCGCTCCACGACGAGCTCCAAGCCGTGCTGGCGGAATGGCAACGTCACTCGTCTGCGCAGTCGGTGGATGAAGAGGGTGAGAAGGGGAAGGGCAACAACGGTGTGCTGCAGCAGCGGCTGCGCGCAGCACTTGTGTCCGTTCCTGGGAGGCTCAGCGGCATGCTGCAGCAATCCGCCCCACCCGGCAGCATTACAGCCGTCCTGCTGGTTGCCACGCGACTTCTGCAGAGCATCACGGAGGCAGCGAGCACCTCCTCGCCACTTCGCGTGTGTGCACGTTTCGTGGCGGCAGAGCTCCTCGCGGTGGCAGGACTCGCTCCGTGCGACGACCCTACGTTCCTAGCATGTGTGCGTCGGCTCGTGGATCTCAGTTTCTCCGCAGCGGCAGCTGGCGCAGACACACAGGCGGAGGGAATGGCGCGGTACCACGCCGCCGTGTGCCTCCGAAACTTTGTGCAGCGTAACACGATGGTGCCGCTGGACAAACTACGGCTCTCTGCTGCTGCCACTGCCGCACTGATGAGTCTGCTGCAGGGGAAGGTTGCCGATGCTGTGGATGTGGACGTGCGCCGCTGTGAGGGCTTGATCGCCCACCGCGTGGAGGCGTGGGAGTGCCTCGTGTCGCGCTGCAGCCAGATGACAAGCAGCGACGTGACAATCGGCTCGCTCTTCGACCTCGCGCCACCTGACGCCTCCGCGCAGAGCAGCGCAAGCAGCAGTGAGGCCCGATTCCTCTTGCCACTCCAGCGCTGCGAGGACACACTGCGGGCGGTGTTGCAGTGGCGCGAGGGGGGTCGTTTGCTGCGGCCAGCAGAGGAGTCGGCGCTGAGCCGTGTGGAACAACTAGTCTGCGCCGTCACGAACGTAACGCGTGCCACCGTCACCAGCGCCGAGGAGATGATCGACTCGTCAGCGGACGCGGTGCGGGTATCCGGAGTGAGCCCAGAGTTCATTCACGTGGATTAGATACAATGACAGAGTGAAGAAGAGAATGAAAGGACAAGAGAGAGAGGGAGAGAGTGAGTCTGCTTGAGTTTGTGTGTGCGTGCGTGTGTGGAGGAAAGTCCAAAACACGTGCACATATCCTGGACGATAATTGCATCAGAATAGTGTTCATTCGTTGTGCGGTTGTTTCTGCTTTATCCTCGTTGTTGCGTTGCTCTCTTCACGTCTTGCCGACCGTCTTTCTCTCCCCCCACCCCCACCCTCGTTGACAGCACTGTACACCTGCGTGGTGCTGTTGCTGCTCTGGTGTGCAAGGAGAAATGCCGCCACCGGATCGCGCGCGACAGCCACGCCGCGCCGCGCCGCGTTTGTCAAAGCGGCCCAGAGGCATGGACGACGGAGCATCTCGCAGCGAGAGCGCGTACCGCCCGCTGCGCCGCATC